TAGGCTATCTGAACCCTAGAAAATGCATCTTAATCCCTAACCCAACCTTTGCAGTTTTTAAACAACCTGGGACAGGTAAGGATCCTTCTTCCTTTCCCCTTGCCCATTACTTAGATCAGGGCTGAAGTACTAGATCTGAGTGCATCTTGATCCCTTAATCTGTGCTACCAGATCCCTGGAGATTTCTTTACTAACTCAGCTCATGCAATCCCTTAATAGGAGCATCCCCTCTTTTTGCCCAGCACTTAAATGTGAGGTTCAGGATCCTGGGGAATTCAATTTATCCACTAATCAGGTCTACTTGATTCCTGATCCTCTTTAAAAAAGGCATTGTAATAGAAGTTGCAGACCTCATCATAACCTAGACAGTAACAACTGTCTCATGACAACCTTCCAAGTAAGATAGTGAGGCATGTGGGAGATGGTTTTGAAGTAGCACTTCACAAGTCTCCCATCTGCTCCTGTTCTGTTCTAGAAGTATCATAAATCTCATCCTTTCTTATTCTATAATGATGGCTTATATAAGCATATGCAAGTTCCCCAGAACAGTCACTTCTTGAAAAACTCAGGACCTAACTTTTGCCTAAGCTCATCACCTGTCCTATATTTTTCCAGCTACACCCCCCCAAAAAAACCCACACACAATATTCAAATAACCTACAAGGTTGACATTTGAAAGTCATGTTATCCCTTCCTCTCCCTTATCCTATATAAGAATACCTTTGACATACTGCAGTCAGTTCTAGACCACTGCCATAAAGTATCAACACTAAAAAGCAAGTCTCACCAATTTTTATTCCTGAAAGCACATAAAAGTTATGTTTACATCCACTGTAAACTATTAAGGGAACTCTGGTGGCTTAATCCATAGGGCTGTCAATCCAGAGGCCAGGGTTTTCTAGTGGTTTGAATCCAGCTTGGTTCCACTGGAGGAAAAGAATGGCAATCTCCTTCCGTGTGACTTACAGCCTCCAAAAACCCCACTGGAATGTCAGCCATGAGTAAGTTTCAAGTTGATGGCAAGAGATTTTAGGTTTTCTAATAGACTATTAAGTGTGCAATAAATAGCATGATGACAACATTTGGAACATTGTTATAATTATAATGTAACACATGTTTACAGATAAACAGAGCCAGTAGACCTGCCTGATGCAGGATTGTCACAAACCTTTAACTGGCTAAAAATCCACGGTATCTACAAAGTACAATAAAGTGAAGGGCAGGAAAATCAAGTATGCCTGTATGGACTCTCACATCTTGCCTTTTCTATTCCCACTGCGTTCTCTTAGTTCAGTGCTTATTCTTAATCTCAAAAACCTCAAACTCACTGTCTTCGAAACCAACTCATAGATGATCCTCTAAACTGGTTTTCAGTGCTACTTCCTATAGATTAGGCCATCAGAAACTCCCCTTCTTTAAAAAAAAAGAAAAACAAAAACAACAAAACCAACGTTTTGTTTTTCAGCATTTTGTCTTGCTCTCTAGAGAATTTTATGCACTGTGGCAAGATAACCTTTTCTGAAGTTATAATTCTGATCTGACAGTCCTGTGCTCATAAAACTTCAGATTAAAAGTCAAAATACCCAAATTTCATAGGTAAATTTTGGTTGGTCCCACTCAATCTACCTTTCCAATCTAATTTCCTGCTTGGTACTTTGAGTAAATAAGACCTGTGTCTGAGTTCTGGCTCTACCACCTACTAGATATGTAACCTTGAACAAGTTAATTAAATTTTCTGAGCCTCTGTTTCTTTATCAACATAATAAGAATAATGATACCTCCATGTGCTTCCAAAGATAAAATGTTTTTAAAATCTTTTCCTTAAAAAAAACCCTTTTAAAACTAAGAACCTATAGTTTTTACTATTTGTGAACTGCATGTTCTAAATAAACTAATCAGTATTTTTCATGCTTCTGTTCATGCAGTTGTTTCTTTTGCCTGGAATGCCCTCCCCCACCAACTCATATCCACATGCCCCAATCCTTCAAATTTCTGTTCAAATGGCCCTCCTCTCTAAAGCTTTTTCTAACTGTCCTTTTCTCATAAGCTCAAGTCATCATTTTTCCCTCTGAATTCTCAAAGTGCTTGATAAATGTTATCTCTGCTGGTCCATCATTTCCATTTTCTGGTTATACAGAGCATAACTCTGCTGTCCATGTTTTATGTTCCTGCTAAAACAGTCAATCTGTGCTATGTTTATTTTTGTACCTACCACCAGGGTTTGCACACAGTGCATGCTCCACAAATATTTGCTGAATGAATGATTCACTAGAAAAACCAATGCATACATGGAGGAGAAAACTATTGATGATTTAAACCAACAAATCCGTTAACATTTTAGCTTTGTTTTCTCTATTACTAATATTATCAGGTAATTACTAACATTATCACTTGGTTTTTAAATCTGTGTCTCTGTATGTATGTATTCATACACACATACATACATAATACATATTATCTATTCACACACACTTACATATATACAAATTGAAAATCCATTAAATCATTACATTAAAATCCACTAAATTATAAAGAAGTCTGCACAGTATAGCATAGCTGCATGTAATTTTGCACATGTAACTGTGAAGGAATAATATATTTCTGGCGTCTCATGCTATGTAGCTGTTTCCTTTATTTTCTCTCTTTTGGGGGCCCTGACTTGCATAAAAGGAGCCCTGGTATCGCGTGTATCATGTAGAGCTCCTAAACAAAAAGCCGGCAGTTTAAATCCAACAGTTAAACTGCAGGAGAAAGATGGACAGTTTCCTCCCATGCAGATTCTGGGTTTAGGAAAGCCTGATAAGGACGCCATGAGTCAGAATCAACTGGACAGCTTTTCCTTCTTTTTTGATCTGGAGATAGCAGATTTTTTAAAGTATGTGTAGATAGATCTCTTTCTACTGTTCAGTATTACTCAAGACCCTGCCCCCAAATCAAGTTTCACTGTACATAAGGATAAAGACTGTACTTTTGAAAGTTTTGCAGTGTCTTGATTGAAACTGCACAGTAAAACTTTTAAAAGTACAGTCCCTGTTCTCTAGGACTAAAAAAAAGTGTTTACTTGAACTTTCTAACTCACTAAAAAAGACAAACAACAACAACAACAAATCCCAACCCAATTCAAACTCAAGAGTTTGAAAGGACTCACAGCTGACCTTCACGGGTTTTCTGGAGGCTGTCAATCAAATAAAAGATTACTAATATTTCTCCTTTGGAGCTGCTTTTGTATTTGAATCACCAGAGGATCTGCCTTTGAGTTAGCTGAGTAACTATATATAGACTAGCCACCAGAGTTCCCTACCTTCTAAGGAATGATCATAAATATCATAAAGCAGCTCATCATCACAGTCAAACGAATCATCAAAATTCTGTTTCAAATGACTCCCTTGATCATCTCCTGCTTCCCAAGTTCTCAGAAAACCAAACCAAAACCTTGCAGTAAATTCCAACTCATTATGATCCTATAGGACAGAGTAAGATCACCTCTCTGCATTTCCAAGGCTGTTATCTTTCCAGGAACAAATTGACTGCCTCTTCTTTCTCCCAAGGAAGCAGTGTGTTCGAACTAACAACCTTTTGATTACCAGGCACCACCAGAGCTCCTTACCAATTTCTAACACAAGACTGACACTCACAGTATGAGGTGGTTACCCTAGCTGACCCTCCAGGGGGTTTTCAGAGGCAGTAAAAAGATTGTTCATCTTTCTCCTGCGGAGCAGGTGGTGGATTCTAACATCCTGCCCTTGGGCTGGCAGCACAATTCTTTAACCACAAATACAGCCATGTTATTGTAATGTAATGTCCAATCAGAGCTCACACCATAGCTGACCCATGAACAGGCTTTCAAAGGTAGTAAATTGCACTGGTGGAGACTGCCCATACTTCTCCCACAAGCATTGGCAGCACAATCCCTTACCATTGGGCCACCAACTAATAAGAAGGAAGCTGCACTGCAATTCCAAATGGTTGTGGTTTGAATCCACTAGCTGCTCTGTGGAAGGATAGACAATCTTCTCCCATGTGATTAACTGCCTATGAAAACACACTGGATTGTCAGCTACGGGTTGGTTGGGATTCGATGGTAATGAGAATTTTTTGAGGTGTGCACGAGGAGAACTTTGAAACTTTCTCAGATTTTGTTGGGTGCTAGTACAGTGCAAAAATTTGTCAGGCTGCTAATAAAAGGATAGGCGGTTCAAATCCACCAGTGACTGCGGGCGAAGATGAGCAGTCTCCTTCCATGAAGATCTACCTACAGGCACGGAAAACCGATGGAAGGGGACTATTAGGAGTCAGAACTGACTGATCATCTGCTGGGTTTTGTTTATAAAGAGGTCTATATGTGCTGCATATTGTACAGAACTTTATTTACTTTTTTGCTTTCCACAATGTTTACCACAATATTGCCAAAGCTTGTGTGCCGGGCTTCGAGGGCTGGTTAAGTCCTTAGTATTCATTCCAGCAGTATGAGGGCGCTCGTGGACCATAAACGCGGCCCTCTGCTGTCACAGGGAGCCAAATGCACTCGTGTCATCTCTGAAGAGCTGTCCCACCGTTCCCGGACTTTCTTGTCCCCAAAGTTAAAAGAAACCCGTTTTCCAGACCATTCCCCCCAACCCGACTTCCCTTTAAGCAAGCATCTTGGCCAGCTTGGTGCCATTCATCCTCCCCTGGTCCCCGCGGGAGCGCAGAGCTGCCAGGGGCCCCGCATTTTGGCATCACCTCCCCATGACTGACCCAGCTTCCCCGCAAATCCCGCACCAGAGAGAAAAAGCACAAGGTACCTCAAACTTTCCCGTGCACATGCATCGTCTTCTCCAGCTTTTGGTTCCCGCCTCAGCGGAGTTGAGCCAGCTGGGGTTCCGAAGAGCCCCCCTGGCCCGCCCTGAGGCTCCCAACCTAGCCCAGCGCAGCCCCGCACTCTGCACCCGCATCCGCAGCACTGCACTGGTACAGCTGTCTTAGGGGTGCCCCCAAGCCCCGCGGCCCTCGCCACTCACCTAGCAGCTCCGCGATGGCACTGAAGGGACGTGTGTGGTTGTTGGAGTTGCTCAGGAGATAGTAGGGGGTCATCTGGGGGGGGGCAAGAGAAGATCCCGTACCGCGTGAGGCCTCGGCCCGCCTGACCCCCCCCCCCCCTTGCCTGAGCGCCTTCCCCGCAGCCAGGGACCCCGCACGCGCATCCGCACCCTCGACCCTCCGGACCTACCGCGCTCACGCGAGTATCCTCCAGGAAGGGCGAGCTGCTGCTGCTCGTGCAAGGGTTAGTGTCCGGTAAATTAGGGCTCCTGGACTGCCCTCGGTGCAGGAGCATCTTTTTGGCCGCCACGGTCCCCGTTTGCTGCCCGTGGGACTCTTCGTCCCACTCTGGTCGTCCTCGCTGAAGTCGCACTCGCAGCTGGCGGGGATGCCGTGGGACACCCGCCCTCCCGCGGTCCTCGTGCAGCCGGCGGAGGCGGGGCGCGAGGCAGCCACCTGTCGGGAGCCTGAGCAGAGTGGTGAAGCTGGAGAAGCCAGAAGACGGCTCCGCCCTGTCCGCACCTCTCCCGACCCAACGAAAGACTGAGCTGCCTCAGGGACCGTACAGAAATATGGCGACCTCCAGACAGCCACTCGGTCCCACCCCCAATTAGTTCTTGCCGTTTGCCATTGGCCGGGGCTGCACAGCGGTAGAGGGGGGCTGGGGGTGCCTACAGGGGCGGGGGGGGGGGAAGAGGCGGGAATGAGGCAATGGGAGGAGGGTGTAGAGATTTCTGGAACCGAGTCCAAACTAAGCGGCTTGACTAAAGGGCAGGATAAGACAAGTCTTTTAAGTTCTAAAGAAGCGCTTGCTTCTGGGAAGATAGCCGAACTCAGCGGGGTGGGAGAACATTCTGACTGCTCTCATTCCTCCAAGACCACCTAGATTTTTTTTCTACGTGTCACTTGGCCAACACCATCCCCAAAGTCTTGACACTTTGTGGACAGGCTGTTTATCAAAAGCGAGATTAGAATCTACTTCAGTCCTCTGGAAGAGGGGGGTTGGTTAAATGAATGGCGTTTATACAACATAATACACTGTGCAGTTCTTCAAGCAGCGTTTGAAGGTTTATTGGTGTGGAAAGATATTAATGCAGGAATTAGGCGGGGAGGGGGAAATAAAAGAAGTTGTTGTGATCAAGTCAAATAATGGCACTTAGTGACCCATGTGTACAGAGTAAAAATACTCCCAAGCTTTTCAAGGCTGTGACCTTTGGAAGCAAAAGCAGACTCTCAGTGTTATCTTCAGAGGTGTCTGGATGTTCTCTAATCAACAAACTTTGTGACAATACTGTGACACTATTTTCATTTGTAAGCAATATATGTATATACACAGTTCTCCGCTGATGTCCACAACTACACTTTGTTGTTAGATGCTGTTTTGTTGGAACCAACCCATAAACTGGTTTTCTGAGGTAAATCCCAGCAAGAGGAAGACCCATTATCCTCCCTCACCCCTTCCTGCCAAGCAGCTGATGGATTGGAACAGCCTGCCTTTGGACTGGCAGCGCCACTCCTTACCCAGGAGGCCATCAGAGCCCTGTGTGTGTGTGTGTGTGTGTGTGTGTACACAGAGAGGTAACATACACACTCAGAAAAAGACTTAGAACACCTAGATGATGTCTCTGAGTTTGGAAATGGGATTTTTCCTTTTAAAAAAAGTCAAAAAAGTTGTATCCATATTTCCTCTGTCCTGTACTATATTCCCTACACAGATTATACAATTAGCAAAGATGATATTTCATTGTTTTATCTTGATGAACCATAATTTATTTGACCACTTCCCTATGGCCATCTGGAATATCCCCTCCTCCTTCCTGGCTTTTGCTTTGGTTCAGTTGTTTGGGTTTTTTTGGTTTGTTTTTTTTTTTAAACATTCAAGGAGATTTATTGAAGAGAAACAGACCTGGAACCATTGATGGGAAAGGAATTACAACAGAGAGGATTTTCAAATACCTCCAGAGATCACAGGGCCTCCTTCCCCCTTCAGAGTGTGTGTGTGTGTGTGTGTGTGTGTGTGTGTGTGAGAGAGAGAGAGAGAGAGAGAGAGAGAGAGAGAGACCCAGATTAAAAAATGCTATCTTAGACATATTCATGCATAAATAATTTCTGGTGCTGTTGTTTCTGTGTTGTTATGTGCCATCAAGTCGCCTGTGACCCTATGTACAACAGCCCTAAACCCTGATCTATCCTGTGCCAATTTTATTGTCTCTGATACATCCACCCCCATAACCCCAGTCACTGAATCAATCCATTCCATCAAGGGTCTTCCTCTCCTGCGCTGTCCCTTCACCCTCCTGAGCATGAAGTCCCTCTCCAGGGACTGGTCCCTCCTTGCAACATGCCAAAAGTATGTCACACAAAGCCTCAGAATCTTAAATTTTAAAATTTATGCAAGGTTTTAGCTTAATAAGTACTGCAAGACTGAGGGAATTTACACTCTCATCAAATACAGTCAGCCACATTGCTATTTTCATAGCACTAAATGACCTGAATGTTTTTACTTTTTACCAATCTGTTGCCATTTCCTTGATTACAAGTGAGACTGAGTAACTCTTCAAATGTGTATCATACTTTTGTGACTCCTCTTCCCCAAAAGCCACTGTTTAAAACCTTCAGCAGTAATGTTTTCCCTCACTGACCCTTTTGCATTTGTCTTTTTTAAAAAGTAATGTTTTATTTATACAAGAAGATGGAGAAAGACTTTATCCTTAAGATCAGGAACAAGATGTTACGATCAGGAACAAGACTATATTAAAACAGTCATTCTGGAAGGCCTACCATAAATTATTAGGCTAGATAAAATAATAAAAGTTTTATTAAATAATGGAAGGAGTAACTGAAACTATCTCTTTCTCTATATGGTTTGGTTCTGTACCTAGAAAATACCATGTAACCTACAAAAAAGGTATTAAAACTAATAAAGGAAGTCAACAAAGCGGGAGGGTACAAAGTCATAAAAATCAGCCAGATTTCTGTACACCAATAAAGAGAAAATGGAAAGGGAAATTTAAAAAAAATGGCATTTATAATAGCATCAGAAAGTTTAAAGCACTTAGGAATAAATTTAACAAGTACACAGAAAATCATAAAACAGAAAAGACTTTTTTAAAAGATCTAAGTAAATGGAAAGACACTCTAGTGACATAGTGAATATACTACCTGAAAGGCCAGTAGTTCAAATCCACCAGCTGTTTCATTAGGGGTAGTCGACTCCAGTTACAGTTTGTTGTTGTGTGCCTTGGAGTCAGAAATGACCCATAATAGCTGACTCTCTGAAGCAGTTAAATGCATGAGAATTTGCCTATCCTCCTAAGGAGAAGCACTGGATTAAAAGTGTGCCTTTGGGATTGCAGTGCAGATTCTTGTCACGAGGCCACCAGTTACCATTTAGAGCCTTGGAAACCCAATGGAGGGTCGCCATAAAGTGGGTTGGATTTGGATTTGGAAAAAAAATGGAAGAATATTACATGTTTATCCACTGGAAAGCTTAATATACCACTCAAAGAGACTTATACATTCAGTGCAATCAGCAACAAAATTCTAACAACCTTCTTTGAAGAAATAAGCCAATTCCAAAAATCTATGTAGACTCCTCAAGGCAATCACATCTGCACTAGGAATCCCACCTTTTTTATATCATTAATATAACTTGCAAGCAAGATTCTGCTGAAAATCATCCAGAAACAGGTGGAACACACATCAGCAGAGAACTACCAGATGTGTAGGCTTGGTTTAGAAGAGGTCATGGCACTAGGTATATTATAGCTAATGTTAGATGGATCTTGGCTGAAAGCAGAGAGTACCAGAGGAATGCCTATCTGTGTTTCATTGACAATACAAAGGCATTTGATTGTGTGGATCACAACAAAATTGTGGCTAACTCTGAAAAGAATGGGAATCCCAGAACACTTGATGGTGTTGGAGACAATAAGATTGGCAAGGGTTTAGGAGTATTGTACATAGGGTCACTAAGAGTCGCAGGTGACTCGACGGCACATAACAACAACAACAACACACTTGGACCAGGAGGCCATCATCAGAACAGAGCAAGGAAACACTGCATGGTTCAAAATCAGGAAGGGTGTGCGCCAAGGATGCGTCCTTTCTCCATATCTTTTCAATTTATATGCAGAATAGATCATCCGGAGACTGGAGCTCTATGAGAAGAAATGTGGCATCAGGATTGGAGGAAAACACATCAACAATCTGCGTTATGCAGATGACACAACCTTGTTTGCTGAAACTGAGGAGGACCTGAAGTACTTGCTGCAGAAGGTCAGGGACTTTAGCCTTCAATATGGATTGAAGCTCAACATCAAGTGAAGATTCTCACCACTGGACCAATTGAAAGTATCATGACAGATGGTGAAGAGACTGCGATTTGTTCACAGCTTTAGTTTGCTTGGCGCCACAATCAACACTCTTGGCACCAGCAGCCAGGACATTAAAATGTGAATTGCATTGGGAAAGTCTGGTGTCAGAGACCTCTCCAAAGTATGGAAGAGCAACGATGTCGGTCTGGAGACTAAGGAGCACCTGATCCAGGCCATAGTCTTTGCAATTACTTGCTATGCCTCAGAAAGCTAGAAAATGACTAGGGATGCTAGAAGCAGAATTGATGCCTTTGAGCTGTGGTGCTGGAGAAGAGTATTGAATATAATATGGCCTGCCAAGAAAACAAACAAGTTTATCCTAGAGAGGGTGAAACCAGGCTGCTCCTTAGAGGCAAGGATTCTGAAGCTTTGTCTGACATACTTTGGACATGTTGCAAGGAGGGACCAGTCCTTGGAGAGGGACATCATCCTTGAGAGAGTAGAGAGGTACAGTGCATGAGAGGAGCACCCTGGATGAGATGAATTGACTCAATGACTGGGATAATGGGAGTATATGTGTCAAAGAAAATGAAGTTGGCTCTGGATAGAGCAGAGTTCAGAGCTGTTGTACATAGGGTCACTATGAGTTGCAAGTGACTCGATGGCACAAAACAACAACACTGCCAACTAAGTATAAAATGTATGCTCACATGCTATTTTATGCCCAGATCTTTGGAA